TTTCTCCCCTCACACAGCTCTGCCTGGTGGGTCTCTCGTCTGCTGTGAACGCCAGTGTTCAGTCTTAAATTTCTCCCTTTGAAATCATCTCCAAATGTGGAGGCTGTGTCTGATGCTGACCCAGACAATAAAACTTCTGCGCTCAGAACACCAGCCTGTGCTCCTGCCCCCACCTGCTATCCCTATCCGTCAGCAGACGGCCTGTGCGGGCTCCCACCACAGCTGCCTGCACTCACTCAATAGTTCTAATCACCAACCTTGCTCTTTGAAATGCCAATCAGATCATGGGACTGCCCGCCACCGCCTTTGAGTGGCTTCTGACTGCACTCCAATCAATCTCAAACTGCAGGGAGACTTCAGCAACTCTCTAGGACAGAGAGTTGTCCCCCTCAGGACAGCCTTCCCCTCTGGCCTTTTCTACCTTCTCACAGATCAGCACAGGACAGAGATGTCCTGCCAAGAGGCTGCTGGGTGCCCAGCATCACCTGTGGAGGCTTCACCCAGAGTGCTGTGCAGCAGGACAGTCTGACCTTGGGAAGAAGCAAGACTCAGGGCTGCTTCTTCACAGAATCTAATCATGGCAACTGCAGAAACACAAGCGCTCTGTGCTCTCTGACTGCACCCCGGTGACTCCTGGCACAGGGCTAGGAGAGCGTGCACACTTCTTCCACTCAGAACACTTGGTTACAGCTCACTGTTCCTAAAGAACTCGGTGCCAGGTCCCGCACGGGCCCTGGGATGCAGTGGTGACTGAAATCAGTACCGCCCCCTCCGGCACTGGCTTTGTAGCTGGAGTAAAGGGAGAGAGCACCTCGTGGACACAGACCAGTACAGCGCTGAAGATCAAGGACTGTTCGCTAAGGAGCGAGGCCTGAGCGTCATGTTCAGCACTCATGGGCGAATGGCGGGCAGGAAAGGCGGAGACAGGAGGGGACTGCGCTTTAGGTACCAACGACAGTCTGCCCAGAGACCCTGAGAGGGAGCCGGAGAGACTGGAGGAGGAAGAAGAGAAATAGAACCATCTGAGCTCCTGCTTTGCCAGTGCTCAGCGCTGGGGGCTGCACATGCCAACGGCCCCGTGAGACCTGTGCTGCCTCATGAGAGGGGAGACTCAGAGCGACTCCATGCCACACATACCCAACCCGCAGCCAAAGCATCCCTCCCTCTTTGTAAGTCCTCTGAAAGACAACATGGGTAGACACTAGAACCAGTGGGGACAGCGAGCAGCCCAAACAGTTCCCCAGAGCCCTGAGACCAGCCTCAGCACCCAGCACAGCCTGTTAATGTTCTTCCTTCTTTCATTCTTTCCCCGTCCTTCCTTCCCTCTCTCCCCTTCTTGGCAAAGTAGCAAAGAAACTATTCAAAGCAAAGATGCTAAAATGCATTCTCCAGTAAGGAGGGGGGTGGGGCTGTGAGCTGAAAAAACTGTATGAAAATTTTTTCCAACAACAAGAAAAAATAAAACGAAACAAAAAGAACTGCCCACTGGATCCCCCTTAGTGAGCGCTTCTGCTCCCTTAACTCCGTCAAAGGAAGTCCCAGACGATAGCTGGGGTTCCTAAGCACTCTGCACATGGCCCGGTATCAGTCCTGGCTGGCTGGCCCACTCTGACCTGCGCTATGTTTCTGCTCTGGATAAAGTCACTTTGCTTCTTTTGTAAAAAGAAACAAAACCAAGAGAGAGAGAGAGAGAGAAGGAAAGAGGGACAACGGCCACATGAGTGAGCAACTACGTTAGACGCACAGGGCCATGGGGGCTGAATTCCCAGTTTTCAAACACCGTGCCTACAGATTTCAGCTGAAAACACCAGACCAAAACAGAGAACTTTAAAATCGTGTATATATTTTGGTGTACTACATGTTTTGATCCATTGTGGAATGGCTAAATCAAGCCCCACACCTCACACATTATTCTGGTGAGCCTCACAATCTATTCTTAACAATTTTCAAGTATGAAACATTGTTATTGGGCTGGCAAGATGGCTCAGTAGGTAACGGTGTTTGCTGCCAAGTCTGACATGCCAATAATCTTTGGAGGAAGAGGCTCACTCCTGCCTCAGAGTACCTGCAAGTGGCGCTTATGCTAGTGGTTTCTCCTGCCCGGAAGGAAGGCGCTCTCCTCTGGTGTGGATAGGGCTGGCTCTCCTGTCTTCCAATCTCACCTTGACTCAGCTCACAGGTCTACCCACCCCAAAGAACCTGACCTCATGGTCAGTCTCTACCACTCACCTACTTATGTATTTTAACAGTTTATCTCTTACCACCATCTAAACCATGCAGTTCATTACTCTCTTATACTTCCTCCCCCTCCCTGATGGAACATTCATGAGGGCAAACTCAGATGTTTTATTTACTAAATGTCTCGTGCATGAAATAGCACCAAGCCAAGTGGGTAATCCAAATATTCATCTGGTGCAGTAAGTGGGCATACAGTGTATGATTATTCCACTCCACGATCTGTGAGGAGAAACCTAGGGACATTACACATTATCAGCAATCTTCAAATGCAAGCACGTGAACATGAGTGTAATTAATGCCACGAAGAACTGCACAGGTCCAGTCTGAACCGGCTTCGTAGCAGTTACAGAAACTCTTCCCATAACACTCTCTATGTAATTCCCCGCCCCTTTTAAAGTTCCGCTCTTTTACTTAAAAAAAATTTAGTTGTGTGTGTATGGGGGGGGGAGCGTGTGTGCGTACACTCACACACACACTCACACACACACTCACACACACACACACTCACACACACACACAGAGGAGAACAGGTGCCTGCTGAGGCCAAGGGCATTGTATTCTCTGGATTTGGTGACAGCTGGGTATGAGTCACCTGGTGTGGTACTGGGAATTGAACTCAGGCTCTTCCTTGATAGGAGCAACAAAAGCTTTTAACTGCTAAGCCATCTCCTATAAATAAATAAAATAAACATAAAAATAATACAGATGGAGAGTGAGGAAGGAAGAGACCTGAGGACAACCACTGGGCTCCATAGGACACAGACTCAAATGATGAATATGCCTTTAACACACACACACACACACACATACACACACACTCACACAATACACACCTACACACACACTCACACAATACACACCTACACACACTCACACAATACACACCTACACACACACTCACACAATACACACCTACACACACACATACACATACACACACTCACACAATACACACCTACACACACACTCACACAATACACACCTACACACACACTCACACAATACACACCTACACACACGCACACACATATACACCTATGCACCTATACACACCTACACACTCACACACACCTATACACCTACACACACACCTACACACACACACACACACACAATTTTCTTTCCCCCAAAAATAAGCCAACAGGAAAAAACATCCACCTAACAGTCTAATAACATATATGTAAAACATTCAACTCCTCAGTAGTAATTACTACTATACTTGCTGATAATTTATCACCCAGTTGATAAATACTAGTAAACATGGGGGCATCTTTCTAGGCCTTTTCTCCCCCATGAAAAGTTTTCTATAATTTTGCTGCATAAGCTGAAATTCAGCACAGTCATTACTATGATCACCTGACATCAGCAGGAAAGTCAGAGCTAATGAGAGCAAATCACACAAGTTTGAGATGAACCACACAGGATTCTGTGACCAGGTGGGTGGTGTCAGTCTCCAACTCCAGTACCCACGAGGCTGAGGCAGGAGGATCTTAAGTTCAAGATCAGCCTGCATCACACAGTGGACTCAGGGGAAACCTAAACCCCACTATATGACATGGTTAGACAAGGAAAAAATAACAAGACCACTCCATGAAGTAGCGCAATGACGTTAGTGCACGTAATGGCAGTAACCATGAGACTATTAAACATAAAACACTTCCGGAGTCAAGACTCAGTGTGTCGGTAAGAGCACAACATGTGTGACTGTTTCCAGTTTCTGACTAAGTCAGCACTGGGAATGAGACAGTGTCAAGATGCCCGATTATGCCACGATACCACCTTCAAGCTAGCGAGTGCAGAGCCCCAAGAAGGGCTCATGTCCCCAACTAGCGGTGTGAGGGAAGGGGCTCACTAACGGTCTCTCTGAGAAACAAGACGGCGGGCTGAACAGTCACATCCAGAGCCAGCACGGGCAGTTCAGGGGCCTTCGTTTGTTAGTGGGCCTGCAGACTCACAACGTCACAAGCCACATGCTTTCCCTCAGTGCTGAAATCCCGGTAGGTTTTTGCTTTGCTTGAGATGAAGACTGTGCCGGTCGACGAGACACAGGGTCAGCCCTCTGGGAGGAGGGGAGCCTCAACTGAGAAGACATCTCAGTCAGCCTGGCCTACAGGCAAGTCTGCAGGAAACTGTTCTTGATTAATGGTCGATGTGGAGGGCACCGCCCACTGTGGGCGCCACCCCAGGCAGGTGGTCCTGGGCCACCCCAGGCAGGTGGTTCTGGGCTGTGTAAGAAAGCAGGCTGAACAAGCCAGGAGAAGCAAGCCATTCAACAGCATTCCCCCTTGGGCTGGGCTTCAGTTCTTAACTCTTGAGTTCCTGCCCTGAGTGATGGAATGTGGCCTGAGAGCTGTAAGATGAACTAAACTGTTTCCTTGCCATGTTTTTTTGGTCATGGAATTTTATCACAGCAACTGAAAGCAAATTAGAACAGGCTTCTCACGCATTCTGGGCTGCCTTGATGTCCCTATGTGGCCGAGGACAACCCTGAACTCCTAATCTTCCTGCACGCACCTCTCAAGCGCTGGGATTACAGGCACCCAGCCTCCTGTACTTTTTTTCTCTGTTATCCACCTTTTTCCTAGACCAACAGCAACAGTCAAGTGCTAATGTCTATAGTGGGCAATACTTTACACAGGCTATGGGATTCCTGAGAGGAGCCTGGGGTTCAGGCAGGTCCTGCACCAGCCTGAATACATACACTAGTACTAGGCCAGCAGGGCTATAGCCTACACGGAAGGAAACCCGAACTTAAAACTTACCTGTCACATTAGCACTGGAGGTCAGCAGAGGCAGAGAGTCGTTTCCCCTTGGAGAGCCTACAGAAATAGAGAGATGCATTAGGAAGGCGCACTGAGGATTTGACTTGGAACACAGCATGAGCCCCTGCCCTTCAGTGAGGGGTTTGCACACTGAAGCCAACTGAGAAGTCAGAGAGGCGCCACACCATGGAAAGACAGCTTGGCCAGGGCCCTGAGGAAGAATGCGGAATGTTTCCCTTACACATGCCACCAGGCTGATGAGCAGCCCATTGTACATGCTCACAGTCAGGCCGTCTCTGCTTCCTGAGCTGCAGGGGGAGGGGAGAGAGGCTTGCATTTTTTGAAGAAGTAACTGAGCTTGAAGAAAACGAGGCCCATTTACCTCAAGCGTATCCACCATCTATCTGTGTCTGGCCGAGACCTTGAGCCTTTAAGCCCGGGGCTTGTATGCAGATGAGAGGGAGGGGAGCTCACAGCTGCAGATGGCAAGGCCTGAGCATGCCAACGGCAGGAGGAGGGGAGACAATGTCACAGGAAATTCTGCTTGTACCACTGTTGCTATGAAACATCCTGGAGCTGTCAGTGAGTTTGAGGCTGCATTGTTAGGTCTTTCACACACAACACAGGGAGCTTCCGTGACAAGCACGTGCACAGTGCTGACTATGGGCCACTCTCTGGTGACAACACAGCTTTGTCAAGGTGCCTGCAGAGACTCTGCCCCGGGAAGTGGGGACCATCCTGGAAAGGCTCTTTGTTGGCGGATGCCTCCTGATCATCTACTCACCACAAGCACCCCTAGTTTCACTCAGTAGGTCTCTCATTTTTCAGTGAAAATTACGTCTTCTAACTTTTATGCTAGTACCTTAAGGCGGGGGTGGGGGGGTTGGGAGGATCCTATGCTTCGGGTAAGCAACTTTTTAGTGATTTTTTTTTAATCCATATACAGACTACAACCCACGAGGGGCAGGAGCTCAGGTAATACTGTTAATTTTCCTGTCACAGAGACCAGCCCTAGTGAGGTGAGGCCGAGAGCCCGGCTCTAAGACACTCCTGGTGTAAAGAGAAACAAAGGTGTTTATGTTTCTGACAACCCACTTCCAACAAACTCCCTCACTCAAAGCAAACAGAAATCCAAACCAAACCTTTAAAACACAACGGAAAGTCGGCAACAACAGCTTTGCAATATTTGCTGTTAAATCTACTCCCTGTGCAAATGTCTTCCTCTGGATGGGACTATCAGTGACTGTGAGACGGAACTCAGGCAGGTCCTCGTCAATTCAGATGTGCTTGGCAGGTATGGAGTAAAGGCCAAGGACAGTAAGTGCTTATGGGGGTGGGTTCCCTTTACTTCGGCCTCCTGGACATTCTGTGGCAGGAGAACTGTTTTTGCAGTGGCAGAGTCTGAGGCCCAGAGAAAGCCACTCAGCTGTTAATGAGTCTGGGCTTGGATCGGGCTGATTTTAATCCAAAGCCTTCATAGATCTATGTCTCTCCTCTCAACATCTTCCTGACGTTACGTCACTAGCTGCTCCTTCCTCTACCAAGCCATCCTTTGGGTCCTCCCTCTTCTGGCTTCACTGTGCATTTATTAATTAATCAGTGATCTGTCCCACTGCCCAAGACACTGGGCACATCTCTGTCACGGAGGTCAGCCTCTGTACAATTGCTGCATAAGCATCAGTCACTGTCACTCCCGAGGCAGCATTTCACGGCAAGGTTTTTGATTGTTTGAACAGACATGTCCATGCTAACAGCTTCTCATCCTGCCTCCTGAGTGCTGGGATTAAAGGTGTGTGCCACCACACCCGGCAGCGTCATCATCACTATGAATTACTACTATTTTGTTTTCCTCAGGCCCTATACAGTCCTGGCTGTCCTGGCGCTATTTAGATCAAGTTGGCCTGGAACTCACAGAGCTCAACCTGCTTTTGTCTCTTGAGAGCTGGGATTAAAGGTATGTGCCACCATGCCAGGCAGAATAATATTTGAAAACCAGAAGCTCCATGGCATTATTTTCTTTCTTCCACAATATTCCCGGCAGCGCTGTGGAATGAAAACAGTGAGAGCTAACATCAGCTGATGTGACTCCGTGATGAAACGGCTGAGTCTGGGTTCCGATCTGCGGCCAAACAAGTATCACTTGTTTTAATGGAAGTAGGTTAGCTTCCTGCAAGTCTCAGATTTCTCAACTGATGGAGATGGTATATGAGGATCCCAGGAGTGATTCACAGAGCTTAATTTAGCATAGTTGTGGTGGTGGTGGGGAACACGGCAGAAAATGTACCCAGAAAATATTAGCCATGTTTCAGTATGGCTGCTAAAATCACCATGTATTGCAATGTTGCTTATACTAATTACATGTTGCATACAAAGGCTTCTAAGACAGTTACCTGTTTTTGTTTTTGGTTTGTTTTATAATTTTTAGCCAATGCTGGTCTTAAACTGAATCATCCTGCCTTGCTGGTTCCTCTTAAGTCCAGGGATTACCAGGGGGCCTGGTCCTGTTGATTACTCACTTAGGAAAACCTTTTAGCACAGTTTGAAGGTGACAGTCTATAGAACCGAACTCATTGGTTCTACCAGTTCTTGGCACTGGGGCATCCGAGCATTTCAAGTTTTTCAAACAGCACTGACCTCTCTAGCGAGACATTCACAAACAAGGTGGAGTGAAAAGTTGGACAACACAAAGTGTTATGAGAGCAAAAGCCAGAAAGGGGCCCTCCATTTTCTTCTCTGGTCAGTCAGCGACAGAAAGGGGCACTCCACTTTCCTCTCTGGCCAGTCAGCAACAGAAAGGGGCACTCCACTTTCCTCTCTGGCCAGTCAGCGACAGAAAGGGGCACTCCACTTTCCTCTCTGGCCAGTCAGCAACAGAAAGGGGCACTCCACTTTCCTCTCTGGTCAGCGAATCGTGAGAGGAAACCGATTTATTGGTACACACAAGCAGGCAGTTGGGAGAATGAAGGCCTCCTTCCATAAACATTAGCATAATATTTGCTCTAAGGCAGAACACTGGCACAATTTCACTTTTTGTTCTTTCTTTAGCCTGTCTCAGAATTAGGTCTGCAGTTACAGCTTGCCACAGGTACAAGTCAAAAGTGCAAACATAAAATGTTAGCGATTGAGGTCATGAAAACCTGTAAGCCCTGGATTTGGGAAGTAGAGCTAGAAGTTTAGCAGTTCAAGGTCATCTTCAGTTATGTAGGGAGTTCAAAGCCAGCTTGGGCTTCGGGGTTACTGGATCCTGCCTCAACAAAACAGATTGAAATTCGGCCCAACAAACAAACAAAGTTTTTTAGTTCACCAGGATTATTCCGGCAAAAGCAGGTGCTGGGCCCAAACCAAACCAAACCATCTGCTTAAGTAAACTGACATGGGCCCAAACCAAACCATCTGCTTAAGTAAACTAACAGGTTATCTCTCCATAGATGAGAACACACACACACACACTCACTCACACCGCACACCCTGATGTACAGAACTGAAAACCACAAAGCCTTTGGTCACTTAAAGCTGCTTATCCTAGTTTACTACTTCTGTAGCGACTGGACTCCAGGAGGTGATAAGGGAAAACAGAATTCTAACAAACCCAGGGTTCTTCTCAAAGTGTCCAAAAGGTCAAGGTCCCGAAGGGAAACAAAATCCCCTACACAGAAGGCTGCCAGCATCATTTTGTTCCGACCTTAGTGACGTCGTGGGCTCCGGACCACGGAGCCCCGACGGTTGCCGCGCAGGTGGCTCACAGCCCCAGCGGCCTCGGCCCGGGCAAGCGCCTCACCTGCGCGGAGGACCGCGGCGCGCGCACCCAAGGCCCCCACCCAGCCTCACCGGCCCTGGAATCAAACTTGTAGCAGCTGGAGGCAGCGCGGGTATCCGAAAACCAGAATGGTTTCCGCACCCGTCAGCGGACACGTTTCCATCCACGGCTCTTTCTTCCAGCCGCAGAACTCCGGGGGAGGGCTGGGGAGCAGGAGGGCCACCCGGGGGAACTCAACAGGCTACCGGAGGCTCGACCGGCAGGTGGCCCCGCGGGGGGGGGCCGGGAGGAACCCGCCCCCACCTCGGTTCCCGACGCCCGCGGAGCCCACGGCAGACGCCGGACGTGGAGACGCAGGCCGCCCCGGCGCGCTCCCTCCCGGCCCGCGCACTCACCCTGGAGGTCCGCACCGTCCGCCGCGGCCCCCGGCAGCGCCAGCACCTGCAGCGCGCCCAGCAGCAGCGGCAGCGGCAGCAGCAGCGCGCCCCGCGGGCCCAGCGCCATTGTTCCCCGGGGCCCCTGAGCGCCCGCGGCCACCGCTCCGCACCTGGAGCTGCCCCCCGCGCACGCGACCGCTCCGCGTCCCCTTCCGCCGCGTCCCGCTCCCCAGTAGCCGCCTCCGCCGCCGCCGGTGCCCCCACTGGCCGAATACGGCGAGGGCCCGGCAGCGATGGGGCGGGGCCGGGGCGGGGCCCGCAGAGTCAGGAGGGGCGTGGCCCACAGGAGGAGGGGCCGGGAAAGCGGCCGAACCTGAGGGGGCGTGGCTCTGAGAAGAAGGGGCGCGCCCGAGAGAGGGCGTGGTCAAAGGAGGCGGGGAGGAGCGTGACTCTTGGAATGAGGCCGAGCCTAGAAGGGGCGGGGCACTTGGAGGCGGGTGGGGGCGTGGCTTTTCTTTGCCCTCGGGCTGGCGGTTTTGTGTAGAAGTTTTTGAGTGGGGTGGAGATTCCGGTGGGGTTTGGGTGCGTGTGGTGAGCAGCGAGAAAGGGAGTCACAGGCTGGATGACTGCAGAGGAGTATGGGAAGGTCAGACTCTGTGTAAGAGCCGACACACGCAAGTTCATCACGATCTTCGTACTCCAGTCGCGCCTCCTTTTTTCCACTCGTGTGCGGAAGCAACTCCGAGAGCAGGGTGGTGCGGCGCGCAGAACTGTTGGAAACTTTCCACCTATCACCTAGGCCCCTCTCTGCACCGAGTCCGCTGACCTAGCTCAGGACAGCCTGTTGCAATCTAGTTTTTTTGTTTTGTTTTTGTTGGCATTTCGGTCAGATGGGGATGGGTCGGGTATTCTGGCATTAGGGAGTCACAGAATACTGAGTGTTACACAGCTCAGGTGGAAAGGTATCCTGGAGCTCGGGAGCCAAGGACCACCACAGGTTGTAGTAAACTTAGCTGCTTACAGCCCAGCCTCGGGGAAAGGCTCCGGCAGGACAGGGTCTTCCAGCTGGGCATGTTTGCCCAGTGTAGCAGTTTTGCTAGGCAGGAGGTTTCTCTGGGCGAAGTTGCTACAGTTCAGCTTTGCTCCGGGAGAGCCGGGAGCGGAGTGTGACAACTAGGCTCTGCCAAGGGAAGGTTTCCTCAGGGCAAGTGTTACAGCCCTGCTCTCTCTGCTCTGCTCTGTCCAGGGTGGACTCTGCTCCATTCGCCACTGCAAAAGATCTTCACCCAAAGCTCATTGAAAGGGTTTATCCATTGAAAGGGAAGAATCCAGGAGAGTGGCTGCCCTCTGCCAGAGTGGCAGAGGACAGCCTGGTAGCTCAAACAGACACAAGCTGAACAGACACATGGTTTATATAGGGCTTCCGGGGTGGGGTTGGTCAGATTTTAGTGCTGAGCTCAGATTGGCTAGAGCTCTGCTCAAGGATTGGTTAGTTTTCTGCACAGGATTAAGGTCAGATTTGGCTCTGGTTTCAGGGCCAAAGTGTGTTACTTTCTCTGGTCCTTTTTAGCCTTTTGGCTCCAATTTTAGGACCAGGGTGCATTTCTTTCACTGACTCTGATTCCAGGGACAAAGTGTGTTCTTTTGGCACTGGTTTTGGGGTCAGGGTGCATTTCTTTAGTTCTGGTTGCAGGGCCAAAGTGTGTTTCTTTGGCTCTGCTCAGGGTGTGTTTCTTTGACTGGTCCCTTTTCCCTACAGTTTTGTTTTTTGGCAAAAAAATCCCTCTTAAGCCCTTCGGGCCAGTGTTCCCAAAGACTGTATTTTGATTCCACTCAGAATTCTAAAATGGTATGTGACTGGTGCAGACCCTTCAACTAATGTCAAAGACAGATTCAGGGCACTGTTGCTCTCTCACGCCGGATGGTCGATTCTGCTCTACATTTATAAGACTTACATCCGAGGTTGCAGTCAGCCAACCCGAAAATACAGGTATCTACCACAGGCTTTATAAAAAACCAGTTGTGTGTTTAGGATTTGGTGGTTCTGTTTCTGAAGAATCTGGCCATGGGAATAACAAGTGCTTCCAGACATGGTTCTGTAGCATGAATGCTTGCCCCAGCTCCAAGTATTGAAACCCAGTGCCCAGGGTGGTGATATAAATTGGTGGTGGTTAGGTCAGGAGAGCAGAGCTCTCAACTATGAAATTAGTGCCTCACGAAAGTGACCCAAGGGAAACTTCCACTCTGCCGTCCCCCACCCCATCTCCAAAAACAGTCTGTGAGACCAAGGACCCTGAACACACTCTAAATTAGTTGCTGGCATTTCCTTGGACTTTCCAGCCTCCAGAACTGTGCCAAATTTCTGCTACTTCTAATCAGTCTAAGGTACTTAGCAGCAGAGAGAGTGGATGGAGACAGTATGAAGACATTTATTGACAATTGTTCTCAGGCCTGACCTTGATGGAGGCTCCCCCAGAATGTCTGCTGCCTGATTCTCATTCCGTCATACAATGGATGATTTGCTTCATTTTCAGGCAGGGTCTCTCTATGTAGCCCACGATGTCTTCCGATTCATGGCAATTCTCCTGCCTCAGCCTCCTAGGTGATGGGATTGCAGGCGTGCACCACCATGCTAGGTGCTTGCTTTGTTTAGTGATAGCCCTGTGACCCAAGCAGTAAATGTTCTCTAGACATGCCAGTGTGTCTACAGGCTCTATCTCTGCTCATCTTCATATAATAGAAATGTAAAGATCGCCAGTGTTGTATCCAGGCAAACCTGGCCTCGCCCCTTGGGAGCCTGGCACAGAGTCACCCCTCTGCACATGACATGTGTACCCTGACCCTTTAAGAGGAAAACGCCACCCCTTCTCCTTTCTCTTCTCTCTTTCCTCTGAGGAGGCAGCCCTGTCTCTCTGTCTTTTTTCTGTCTCTGTGTCTCTATCTCTTCCCTTCCCCCAGTAAACCTTCCACACAATTCCCATCTGCAGGTCTCTGTCCATACTCCACCCGATGTCTGTCCCTCACCTGCTGCAGGATATGCCATGGTCCCACCTCGAGCCATATTTCCCTCGAGCCGTATTAGAACTCAAAATGGAGTCACGCTAACCCCACGAAAAATTAAATCTGAGAAGTTACAAAGAAAAAGTGTGTATACCAAGGAATTACTTGATCGAAACCATCACAAAAGATTACCAGGACCACAAGCTTACCCAGAAGCCACCAGAATCTCATCAACAGTGCTCTCTACAGCACGTCTGCCTACCTCCACCCCAGGTTGACGCCACGTCGCTGTTGTGTCAGAGAAGAAATGTTTTAAGAGTACTGACACAATCTGCCCTTATGTCTTTAAGCAGTACCCCTTGCTGGAGGAGCAGCACATGCCAGTAATCCCAGTGCTTAGGAGACAGATTGTTGCAAGTTCAAGGCCAATCTAAGCTATATAGTGAGTTCCGGCCAGGCTGAGCTGGAGATACATACATACATACATACATACATACATACATACATACATAAAGAGACCCTGTCTCAACCAAACCAGCCAGGAATGGAGGCACAGTCTTCTAATCCTATCACTGGCATTTTGAGGCCAGCCTGGACTACATCAGATCCTAACCCAATAAACCAACCAAACAAAAAGTCCATAATGAAGAAAATAAAACATAAAACTCCTTGTTGTAACTTCTATGAATTTTCCTAGTTTGCTATGACACACATTCCCATAGCAATGCCATTCTCAGCATTATTCTTTGGGGACTCAGTGACTTCTTTTAAACAGAAGTTGACACTTCTTTTATACAAGATACCTACTGACCTTTTCTTCTGTACAGTTTTTACTGCTCTCTCCAGATTCCCTTCACATGTCATCTTCAACCATCTGGGCAGGGCACAGTGCTCTGCTCCTCCTCCTCCTCCTCCTCCTCCTCCTCCTCCTCACAGCTGACTGCTTCTGCTGTGAGTCTTCTCAAGACGGTTTACAAACTCCTTACTGAATGTTTGGCGTATGTATGATGGATATAGCATATGGCGTTTATAGTCTAGTGGCAAGATAAATCCTGATGGACCCCAATGAGGGGGTTCGAAGTGAGCTGGGGCTAGGGAGATGGCCCAGTCAGTGACGTGTCTGCTGTGCAAGCGTGAGGACCCAAATTCAATGCTCAACATTCATGTGAAAACTGGGCGTAGTGACAGGTGCCTATGGCTCTCTAATGCTAGCAGGGCAGAGACAGGTGACTCCCCACAGCTTGTTGACTGGATAACCAGTACGTCTCTAGGTCAGGGGGACACTGTCTCAAAACAACTAACTGCCAGTAGAGATTGGTAGAGGAAGGTGCTGGACATCTGGCCTGCACACACATGGTCATATGTACTTCCACACGCACACAAACACATGTACACCATTTGTACATAGAGTGACTTAGTTTCCTTTTATAAAGAAGGTGGAAAGGGAACCTAGTAAATTCATTTCCTTCACACCTACATTATGATTTACCTTATAACCATTATGATTTAACCATTGATAAATGTAGAAATACAGGCTACTGTGGTGATGCATTGTTTATGATCTAAAAGCCACTGGGGACCAAAATACAAAACTAGCCACAGCCATAGAGGCCAGGCAGTGGTGGAGCACGCCTTTAACCCCAGGACTCAAGAGACAGGCAGTGGTGGCGTACGCCTTTAACCCCAGGACTCAGGAGACAGGCAGGTGGATGTCTGTGAGTTCAAGGCCACTCAGGGTTACACAAGAGTGAACCAGTCTAAAAGAGAAACAGAGCTCATGCCTTTAATCCCAGCACTAGGGAGGTATAAAAGGAAGAAACAAAGGGACTCATGTGAGATTTAGTTTCCAGACAGGGAGAGCATTTGTCTCTGGGGATTCGTGGAGACAGAACTTCTATTTGAGCTTGGTAGAGGTAAGAACTAATGGCTGGCTGCTTTGCTTTGCTGATCTTCAGCTTGAACCCCAAGATCTGTCTCTGGGTTTATGTTATTCATGGTACACAGGAGCTCAGCGTCTCTTTCAGGTACTCAGCATTCAGTTTCCAGTCACAGTGAGGACAGGATGGACTCAGTTGAGGTAGAGGTAAGAGCTAGTGACAGGCTGTTTTGCTTCTCTGATCTTCAGCTTGAACCCCAATATCTGGGTTTTTATTATCCAAACTACAGGACAGTCTCAAAAATAATGATTCCATATACTTTACATTCTTGACATTTTTAATTAGTGAAATGTTTCATTGTTTTCAGTAAGCATGTTACTGGGAATAAACGGGTATAAATTTGTTCTAAAATTTAAATATAGAAGAGAGGCCAGGCAGTAGTTGGCACATGCCTTTAATCTCAGCTCTACACAGCTGTCCTCCGCCTGCATGTGTGCCCCCGATCATAAATTGAAATTACAATAAATACTAACATAGCCC